TGTAGTCAGAAACACTTATTGGGGCTGTCCTCTCACAAAACAACATAGATTATGGTAGGAAACATAATGCAAACAAGCAAAAAGTCTACAATGGAAGAGGAATGACTCCCCTCAGAGAGCTATCTGTTGTTAGTAAACAAAAGTACAAAGTACATTTTAAGTAAGATTTTTAAAAAGAATAGAAATAAACAGACATCAGGAAAGGAGTTAAAGAAAAACAGAGAAAAAGAAGCAAGTCCAATGTTTCAACCTACTCTGGAAACTTAGATTCATTCCTCCTTTGATTTATTCAACCTAATCACAATGATTCCATACTCTGTGCCAGTTATTATCCTAGGCATTCCACACATGGCAACGAATAAGACTGAGTTCTAGGCCTTATTGAGTTTACATTCTAGAAGCAGACCAAGTAAAAGTGCTGTAAATATCTACATCTTTGTGTATGTGCAAGCTAAGGTGTGTGTGTGTGTTCAGTGTGAACATGTGGTGGAGGTACATGTAGACAGATCATCGATATTTAGCAATAACTATATGCAAATATTGCACTAAGTATGAGATCACATTTTAATAGGACACATGTTCTCTGCCATTCAAGTTTACCCTAGTAGGACACACAAGTAAACTGACAGGAGGCAATGTGATACCCCTTACTACCTGCATAATCTTGGCAAGTTGATTAACATCTTTACCATGAATAGGGGTACCAACCTTCAAGGGTTATTATAAGCATTAGATACTTAGAACATTTGGCACCCTGCCTGGTAAACCACAGATTTTATTATTCCATTTAAGTGCCCATGTTAAAAAATAACAAGAAATGGTGTTCATAAAAATTAAGGATGGCAAAAAAGTAGCAAAGGTCTTAAAAAATTGTCAAAAAGGGAGTCAAAGTGGACTTGTATTGTGTCCAGACTTAAAGTTGTAAGTTATATTATCACAGAAAAGAACACATGCCAATAAACTAGTGGGAAAGAATGTTGGTGGAAGATAAATGTAAGTTGTGTGTAAAAAAAAAAAAAAAAAAAAAAAAAAAACCTTCAAAGTACCAAGGGAATAATGGTGCTCTGATAGAAAACAAAACTGAGATATTCAGAAAATTAACAAAATAGAAGCATACTAAGAGAAAAGTTTATTGCATTGAGCACATTCAAGTAAAAGAATAAAAACTCAACAAATAAGTGTCTAAATACTACATTCTCAAAGCCCTAGAAAAAGAAGAACAAATCAACACCAAAAGCAGAAGATGGGAAATAATTAATCAGAGCTCAAGTCAATGGAATTGAAACAAAAGAAAAAACTGACAAAACAAAAAGTTGGTTCTTTGAAAAAATAAATAAAATAGATAACCCTTGGCCATGCTAATGAAGAGAAAACTCAAATTACTAAAATACAAGATGAAGAAGGAAATATCACAATGGACATGTCTGAAATACAAAAGATAATTAGACACTATTTTAAAAATTTATGTTCCAATAAAATAGAAAATATCAAACACATCGACAAATTTCTAGAGACATATGACCAACTGAAATTGAATGAGGAGTTCATACACGATTTAAATAGATCAATTTCAAGTAAAGAAATAGAAAATGCCATCAAAGGCCTACCAACCAAGAAAAGCCAGATGGATTCTTAGCTGAGTTCTACAAGACTTTCAAAGAAGAATTAACACCAATATCCTCAAAGTATTCCACGAAAGAGAAAAGGAGGGAACCCTTCCAAACTCATTCTATGAGGTTAATATCACACTGATACCAAAACCAGACAAAGACACATGAAGGAAAGAAAACTTCAGACCAATATCCCTGAAGAACATAGATGCAAAAATTCTCAATAAAATTCTGGCATATCACATACAAAAACATATTAAAAAGATAGTGCACCACAATCAAGTGGAGTTCATCCCAGGGATACAGGGTTGGTTCAATATACGGAAATCAATAAACATAATTCATCATATTAATAAACTTAAAAACAAGAATCACATGATTATCTCAATAGATGCAGCAAAAGCATTTGACAAAATACAGCACACATTCATGTTCAAAACACTAGAAAAACTAGGAATAGTAGGAACATACCTCAACTTTGTAAAAACTATATATGCCAAACCCAAGGCCAGAATCATTCTAAATGGAGAAAAAGTTGAAGGATCCCCTCTAAAAACTGGAACAAACAAGTTATGTCCACTTTCACCACTTCTATTCAACATCTTCCTTGAAACTTAGCCAGAGAAATTAAACAAAAGGAAGAAATTAAAGGGATACAAACAGGTAAAGAAGAACTCAAATTATCACTATTTGCTGATGACAGGATTCTATATCTAGAAGATCCAAAAAATTCCACCAGAAAATTTCTAGAATTACTAAATGAATTCAGCAAAGTAGCAGGATATAAAGTCAACACCCATATATCAAGCACATTCCTACACATCAGCAATGAATCCACTGAAAGAGAAATTAGGAAAACTACCCCATTCACAATAGCCTCAAATAAAATAAAATACCTGGGAATCAATCTAACAAAAGAGGTTAAAAGACTTCTACAATGAAAACTACAGAATACTAAAGAAAAAATTGAAGAAAACCTCAGAAGATGCAAAGATCTCCCATGCTCCTGGATAGGGAGAATTAATATTGTCAAAATGGCCATATTATCAAATGCGTTATACAGATTTAATGCAATTCCTATTAAAATCCCAATGACATTCTTCATAGAAATAGGAAAAGCAATCATGAAATTTATTTGGAAAAAATAAGAGACCCAGAATAGCTAAAGCAATCCTTAGCAACAAAAGTGAACCAGGAAGCATCACAATACCAGACCTTGAGCTGTACTTCAGAGCTACAGTAACAAAAATGGCATGGTATTGGCACCAAAATACACATGTAGACCAATGGTACAGAATACAGGACACAGAGACAAATCCACATAAATATGGTTATCTCATACTAGACAAAGGTCCAAAAACATTCAATGGAGAAAATATAGCTTACTCAACAAAGGGTGCTGGCAAAACTGGAAATCCACATGTAGCAAAATGAAATTAAACTTTTATCTCTCACCCAGCATAAAACTCAAATCAAAGTGGATCAAAGACTCAGGCACTAGAACAGAGACCCTGAGCCCAAAAGAAGAAAAAGCAGGCCCGAATCTTCACCATGTCGGCCTAGGATCTGACTTCCTTAACAAAAGACTCCTAAAGCATAAGAAGTAAAATCACGAATCAATAAATGGGATGAATTTAAATTAAAAAGCTTCTTCTCGGCAAAAAAAAAAAAAAAGTCAATAACATAAGGAGACAGCATACAGACTGTACCTCCAATAAAGCATTAATCTCTAGGATATATAAAGAACTCAAAAAACTTAACACCCCAAAAAACAAATAACCCAATCAATAAATGGACTAAGGAGCTGAACAGACACTTCACAGAAAAAGAAATACAACTGATCAACAAATATATGAAAAAAGTGTTCAACATCTCTAGCAATTAGAGAAATGCAAATTAAAACTACTTGAAGATTTCATCTCACTCCTGTCAGAATAGCAATAATCAAGAATACAGGCAACAATAAGTGTTGGCGAGGATGTGGTGAAAAGGTACACTCATACATTGCTGGTGGGACTGCAAATTGGTGCTACCACTATGGAAAGCAGTACGGAGATTCCTCAGAAAACTTGGAATGAAATCATCATTTGACCCAGTTATCCCACTCCTCGGTTTATACCCAATTGACCTAAAATCAGCATACTACATTAATACACCCACATCAATATTTATCCTAGATGTCCTTCAAGAGATGAATGGATAAAGAAAATGTGGTATATATACTCAATGAAATATTACTTAACTTTAAAGTAAAGAGTGAAATTATGGCATTTGCCAATAAATGAATGGAGTTGGAGAATATCATGCTAAGTGAAATAAGCCAATCCCCCCAAAAAACAAAGGCTGAATGTTTTCTCTAATATGCAGATGCTAATTCACAATAAGGCAGAGAGAATAGTGTACCTTAAATTAGGTAGAGGGAAGTGAAGGGCGGGGAGGAAGGAGATGTGGGGATAGGAAAGATAGAATGAAACAGATATTATTAGTTTATTATATACATATGTGACTACATGACCAATATGATTCTACAACATGTACACTCAGAAAAATGAGAAATCATATTCCATCTATGTATATCAAAGTGCATAATTGCATTCTACTGTCATTTATAACTAATTAAAACAAATTTTAAAAATTACTAAAAAAAAGAAGTCCTTTTATAGAAGTCTTCAGAAATGAATTACAATAAAATGCTTCAACTAAATTCACTAGGTTTTCACTCTTACTGTATATTCACTATCAAATATACATATCAAAGCATAAGCTCCACTAGAATTATAGTAATTTTCTCTTACCTTGAAGAAAAAAATCTATGGCACCAATAAATAAAACCCACCACATGATATAACAATAATTTATAAGACAGCAGCTACTCGTGTGCCATACATAATTCCCTTACATTTTGCCTTGTGAAGGAGATACTATTATCCTGGTTATACCAGAAAACAAAACAAAACAACAACAAAAAAAAACTTAGCCTCAGAGGGATTAAGTAACTTATATGAAATCATCTAACTCTGACAGACAGGGCTAGGATTTATCCCATGTCGGCCTGATTTATACCAGTGACCACTCTTCACACTGCTTCTCCAAGTTAAAAATTCAAATTTTCCCATGAGCACCTTGCCTTAGTACCCTTAAGTGTGTACAACTTTCACCTCCAAAAACTAAGATTTTTTTCACACTGCACATGTATTATCCTTGAGTGGCACATAAATTGATAAAATGAGAACACTAGAACACAATGACATAAAAGAAATACATTACTGTTAAAAGTCAGAGAATAATGTCTCGAGAATGTGAGATGTAGGCTCTACCATAATGTCATTAAAGGACTCTGGATCTAAAGAAATTTGATAACTTTTTTTTTTTTTGAAGTACAAATTTTACCTGGGTCATTATGGGAATGAGGCACCACAAAGACTTGAAGGCTCTCATCGTCCCATTCATGATCTTCATACTTAATGTCAAACCCTTGCTTCCAAACTCCACCATCTGGATTATCAAAAGGAATTAGATTGTAAACATCCAACATCTAAAAATATAAAAGAACAAAAGTTAAAGTTTAACCATTAATTTCACATGCACAGAAAAAAATAGCTTTACTGTTCCTTCAGCATGGCTGACCAAGCTAGGTACTTATGTAGTACTCAATAAAAACCAAAATGAAGCCAAATCTCACAGAAAGTGATTTCCCTGCCATGTACAGGATTCTGATCCTATCTGACTGTGTCCACACATTAGCTGGTGAGGTTGCAGGTGCAACGCCTGGCTAGCTGCACTTCCAGCTTGGCTTATGAGCCATGGCCTCGAGATGGTATCATGTTCTGTGCCTAAAGAAATTAGTGGGAAATGTCAGTCTAAAGCCAGGATAGAGGCCAACTAATTTTGTCTAACTTTAAAATATTCACCCTTTAGGGTCCCCCCCCCCAGAGTTCCAGTTTCTAGTCTAAAGCACAAGGTTAAACATAGCCCTTTGCTAATTTGCAGAGCAGGGCCAGTAGGAGTGACGCCCAGCATTTAAGAAACCAGTCCTTTCTGAAGAAGTCCTAGTTTTCGATTCCAGTACCCTCTAGAACAATATTGTCCAAGTGAAATAGAATAAAAGCCAAATATGTAATTTTTAATTTTCTACTAAAAGGAAACAGAAGAAATTAACAATATATTTTATTTAAATTTGCGTATACAAAAGATTATCAACTCAAATGTGTAATCAAATTATATAAATAAATTAAGATATTTCACATATTTAAGTCTGAAACACTCTGTGTTTATATTACTTTTAGAGCACACCTCAAGTCATATTAGCCATATAGCAAGTGCTCAGCAGTCACATGTGATGACAGCTTCCATACTGGAAAGCACAGCTCTAGAATGCTCTTCCACTGTAAAAATACCTAATCCTACACTGTATGAAAACAGACATACAGTAAAGGCTGGGCTTCTATTATGTTTTCTAAAGGAATGAAGAAAATCTCTTTGGGTAAAATTAAATCTCCAATGGTTTCAACCATTATAAGAAATAAGAATAGAAAAATAAACAAATAGGCCATTTTCACAAGAAAACAGGAGTGACACAAAATTCCAAAATTTTATCACTAAAAAAAAAAAAATAGTGATATGACAAATCAAATCCTTCTGCAAAATAGAGAAACTGGAATCCAGAGTTTAAACAACTTACCAGTAAGAACAGACAACCAAAGAAAACCTAAAAGCAAAACAAAAAAAATGTTTCATGATTATTAATGAATGTCTATATTACCTGCACATCTGGTTGCAGACTTCCAGTTTGTGACAGAGACAGACAGTCACTAGGGTCAACCTGAATGTACAACTCTGATTGCTGAAGTTGTGATCCAGCACCTTGGCTGAAATTGCCTTGAGAATCTTTCGAATCATCATCCACAGATTCACTCAAATTGATGACCGAGTCTCTAATATTTGAGATGATCTCATTATTCTCAGCCAGCAAACGTTCCAAATGGTCTATTTTTTCTTGTAACACCGAGAGCTGGGCCTAAAATATAAAAGAGAAAGGCATCTATATAAAACACTAATATAGCTCTGCTTAGGCACATTATTTCTTTAAAAAAAAAAAATATTTGGCTGCCCTTTGGGGTAGCCACTCACCACTCACCCTTTACTTTCCACTTTTATAAGTGGAATCACAGAAAGCATGAAAAGCTGGCATGAATAAAACAACAATTTACAGCAAAATTTTTTTTCATAGCTAAAATCTTTGTTTAATCATATTTTAAAATATGCAACAGAGGGTCCAAAAATAGTTTGAGGTATATTTTCTACTCTCCCAAAACTCAGTCCTAAAAGATCCCTGGGCCTCTGGAATCACTAAGTAAAACAGCATATCATATTCAGGTATAAAATTTTAAATTTCAGTGTAACTAATATGAGTTATTTACAAAGGTTACAAAATATGAACCTGAAAGATATTTCATCTCAACTAGTTAATACTAGTGGACAATGAAATCAGTTCATCAGCTCTCAATTAGCCACAAACAAGAACATCCTCCAAGGAACCATACTGTCAGTAACTCAGACTGCTTTTTAGTAATACCAAGCTTATAAAAGCAAGGACAATCTTTGTCCTATTCAACCCTATATCCTAGATTCCAAATATACAGTAGATACTCATTTATTTGTTAAATGGCCCTCATATTTCTGGAATGCAACAATTCTTTAGCAAACACCCACCATGTCAGGCATAATGCAACATTCTGGGAAGACAGATAAGCTTAAGATTCATGCCCTAGTCTATAAATACACAGTGACACTGTAAGCAAGATCCAAACCCCATATCCCAAAAAGCTCAAATTTAGGTTTAAAAAAGTAACATCATCATGGTGACCAAACAACTCCAGACATCCATTACCAGGAAATAATGGCAGTAGAAAGAAAAGAAGGAGGAAAAAGAAAAAAGAAAACACCTAAATATTCAAAACAAGGGGACTTGTCAAATGGTAGATCTATATCATGGAACAGTCTGCAGCCACTAAAATTTAGATATACAAATTTTTAAAAAATAGAAATAGAAGGAGAGGTATTTTCAGAAAATGAAGTGTAGAGAAAGTTTTTTTAAAATAGTATGTATGAAAAAATTGTGTGTATGACATGCTATACTTCTGGGAAAACATGGAAAAATAAATCAAGAGAGTTAAAAACTAGATATATTTATATTCTTTTTTAACCTGCTATGAGTATTTGTTGATTTTGTAATGCTAAGGTGGGATGAGAAATATCAGAGTTATACTCACAGGTTACTGGTCAGTTCAAAAAGCAGAAGAGAAGGCAACACACTGAGATCTACCAAGAGAAGGCCAGTTATTTCAGCAAACTATGTTAGAATGGTCAGAAATCTGAAGAAACTAGAACAGAAATTTTGTAATAAGAAAAAATAGCCAAGAGGCAGAAAATTACCTTAGGAAGAGGGGACATGACGTTGGGGATGAATGACCAAAGCCCTGTTTATAGACAGGCATAGGACACAAGACTGCACAGTGCTCAAAGATCCAAAAGACATTCTCACAGATCTCTCCACAGAAACAGCCCCCTACACAATCAAAACTCATCCTTGAAAGCAGCTGTCATTCTGGAGTGAAGTAGCATGTCAACACAGAGTAGAACTCTGAAGCCTCTTCACTGGCATATACAGAGACATGAGGGAAGTACAAGGTTTTAGCACAGATCTCTTCCTGCAAAACAAGGCCCATTTCCCTTAGTGACAAGCAAGAAAGAGAATACACATCAGTTTACATCTAGAAATGGCATAGCGAAGGCAACGAGTGATCAGTACAACACCAGTTCAGCCATCAAACAGAAAAGCTAGCTGAACCATGTGGATTCCAGGTAAGCAAAGTTGTTAAGCAGTATCATACTCAAAACCTTCTCCAGGAGCACACATCACTGTTGCTTATGAATGGTTCTCCATGAAAAGACCAAAAGATGTTCTCTGGCATAACCTAAAGTTCAACCAAAGCAAAAATATTTAGGAGTAAAGTACACATTCAACTAACCTGTACATCTCTTTCTAAACAGACATGTTACAAAGGGTGACAAAAACAAAGGGAAAACTTTTCTTCACTCTATCAAAATATCATGAACTTTGGCCTTTTTAAGTCACTTCTGATAGATTCTGTTGAATACTTCCAATGCTGAAGACAAATACATTTCAGTGTTACAATTTTGAGTGTAGCAGATAATAGAAAATCAAGTTCTTTTTATTCAAAGTAGAATTACAACTTGTTGATTTGTCTCACCTTCAATAAAGCTATTGACTTCTATAAAATAAGACTTTAGCTTAGTCTAGAGCATATTTAATTTTCTCTGCTATTGGTGAAAAACTGGCATATGACTAAAATGCCATGATCTCAGAGCTTTTAAAGATGCCATGTTTATCTTATGCTTATGGTATTACATTATTAAAATTTTAATACATGGGCAGAACTTTCTGTGCTTTAACAAAAAGATCACTTGGGGCCCATTTATACAGCAAAGCTGTCTATAGTTCAACAAGCACACACTGAAAAAGAAGAGGACCCTTCCCAGGAATGGCCTTGGTCCCATAATCAATGAATAAAAGTATCATTCAAAATAAACATTATAAGAGATGCTTCATGAGGAAAGATCCTTCATGCATTAAAGACAACTTTCAATCTCATTGTAGCTCTAAAAACACAATTAATGATCAGTACCTAGGATTATATGGTAAATTAAATGCAGGGAGAAAACTGTAGCCTGAGGATATGTAAGCATAATGGCCTAATAAAAATTATTTTTAAAACTATTATTACAGTGGAATAAAGTCTCCCTTCAAACAGCCAAAATTCTTGACATACACATCAAGCAAACTGCATATATGTAAGAGAGGAGTGGTGACCTAAAAAAGATACATATACAGTCTGCATTAAAGAAATAGAAATCATAATGTTTCAATTATGCTAATAAGTCAAAGAATACTAATAGTAATATTGAATAAAAAACAATTTTCTGTAGGGTAAGAAAGTCACTTRWAAAAAAAAAAAAAAAAAAAAAAAAAAAAAAAAMAMTTTATTCTTTGATTTGCTAATCAGTTCTATAGGGAGGCCACCAGGGCTGCACTGCTGAGGAGTGGAGAAGGAGGTCATATTTGATTTTCTCTGCTGCTGATGAAAGAGAAAAAAACGCAGCCAAAAAAAAAAAAAAAAAGAAATCAGATATCAAAGACATTTGAGAGAGCAAATTTAGAGACTACTATGAAGTAGAATAGGAACAGCACCCACTCAGTCCTATGAACAAAACCAATGACTGTTATCAACAGCTAAATCTAAGCTTATTACGTAATTATTTGCCCCAGGGAGGACACTAGCTGCTGGGAACTGAAGTGACCTTGATCACTCAAGCACTGCTGAATGTTCACAGCTTCTCCTCCTCCTTACTACTGAAAAAAAATGTGTGTCCTCCTCTCTCCCCAGCTTCTGCTGACTTCAAATCCGAACCCTCTCAACTGCTCAAACACTTTGTTCTTTTAGTTAAACCCCCTCAATACAGCTCCATCAAAACTCTCCTTTTAAAAGCAATTCATTCTCAGTAGTTTAACATGTTCTATTATATGAAACTACATGAAACTGACATTCTCCTAAGCCAAGAATAGTCAAATATCACCAATTCTGTATTCTTATATTCTTAATGTCTATAGTCTATATTCTAAATATTCTTATATTCCATGTATCTATATACCTCTATATTCTTAATATTCTTGTATAATATTAGAGCCTATTTAAATTTTGAAAAGTCAATCAAACTCCTCTGCTTCCTAAACTCATGGGATTTTTGGTGTCAACTTGACTGAACTAAAGAATCCAGATAGCTGCTAAAGCATTAATTTTTCTCAATGCTTCGGCAAGGAGACCCCCCCTCTCTCCTGCTAAAAGGGAAACCCACGTTTCTTAGCACTAATTGGAATGATTGGGCTGCCCCAGGGGGATCTGGAGGAGGACCAGGGAAGGTTGATATGTGAGTCATTAGACTGAGTGTCAGCCCTCAATTTGGGCAGATACCTCCTCATYGGCTGGGAGCTTGGACAGAACAAACACATAAAGGGCACCCCTTCCAGCCAGTCCTCCGGCCTTGGAATGCTAGAACTCCAGGTTCTCCTTTGGAATCTAAGATTCACACAAGCAACCCCCCCCAGACTCTGAGCCTTGGGTCTCAGTCTGAGAGTTATACCCAGCTTCCCAAGGATCAGAGCCCATGGACAGGGAATGAGCCACACTACCAGGTTGTCTAGTTCTCAAACTTGCAGAAAGCCTATCATGGGACTTGTCAGCCTCCATAACTAAATGAACAAATTCTCTCAATAAATCCTCTCTTTCACCTTCTCTCTGTATATACATATGCAAGCACATGCATATGTTTGTGTGTATATATAAATATCCTATCCTTCACAATGTACAGGGATTATCAAGAATCGCTACAAGTAATCCCTCCTTCCAATAAACACCCATGCATTCTACCTGCCCAGTTCAATCTGTGCCTGTCTATCTACCAAAAGTGCCCTCATAAAGTCCCCAAAGCCTCCCACATTTCAAGCCTGGTGAAGAATACTGTGCGCTGACCTTACTTATCATCTCAAGGAGCACGCAGCACAGTAAAACACTCCTTCTTCCTGGAAACATTTTCTTCACTCACTCCCAGGACAACATGTTCTTAGTTTCCATCTGGGCCACAATTTATCAGTCTCCTTAGTTGGCTCCTTCTCTCCCTCCAGGGGTATCTGGAGGAGGATTCCAGGGAAGGTGGATGTTAGAGAACTCAAGGTTAGCTCCTAAGCCCTGTTACCTCTCCACACTGCCTGACATGATCTCATCCATTCCATGATTTAAATTTCCTGGTTGTAATGATGTCTCCCATATTTATATCTCCTGCTGAAATCTCTTCTCTAAAAACAGATTCATATATTCAAACGCCTACCTGACATCTCTATTTGGGCTTCAAAGTGAAATCCAAAACACCTTCACCACA